TACCAGAGCTCCTTATATAGGGTTTATGTTGTTGTTAAGTGCCGTCGAGTCGGTTTCGACCCATAGCGACCCTGAATAGGGTTTCCGAGGCTGTTAATCTTTAGGGGAGCAGATCGCCTCATCTTTCTCCCGCGGAGCAGCTGGTAGTTTCGAACTGCTGACCTTCCGGTTCGCAGCCCAGTTCGTAACCACTACGCTATCAGAGCTCCTTAAATCCATAGTTTAGTATTTTTCATCAGTTTTGGAATATTCACCGCCCTCGTCTTTTGTGATATATCTTTTCTAGGTCTCTGATTATTGTTATTAAGTCCTGTCAAGCTGGTTCCGACTCATAGTGATCCTATGCACAACAGAACGAAACACTGCCCAGTCCAGTGCCATCCTCACAATTGTTGTTACATTTGAGCCTATTGTTGTTGCCACTGTGTGAATCCATCTTGTTGGGGGCTTCCTCTTTTTCACTGACTCTCCAGTCTGCTAAGCATGATCTTCTTCTCCAGGGACTTGTCCCTCTTGATAATGTATCCGAAGTATGAGAGATGGTGTCTTGCCATCCTGATTTCTCAGGAGCATTCTGACTGTAGTTTTTTGAACACTGAAGCTATTGAAAATACCATGACTTGTATCAGGCACACCTTAGTCTTCAAACTGGTATCTTTGCTCTTTAACACTTTGAAAAAAGTCTTTTGCACCAGATTTGCTTAATGCAATATGTCATTTGATTTCTTGGCTACTGCTTTTATGAGTATAGATTGTGAATCCAGGCAAAATGAAGTCTTTGACAACTACATCTTTTCTCCATTTATCATGATGTTATTTCTTGGTCTAGTGGTGAGGATTTTTGTTTTCTTTACATTGAGGTGCAATCCATACTGAAAGCTGTAGTCTTTGATCTTCATCAGTAAGTTTAAGCCCCCTTTGCTGTCAGCAAGCAAGGTTGTATCATCTGCATATCCTGTTTTGTAATATGCCTGGGAATAATTTTACAGTTTTGGTATTTTTTATTATAGCATATTAAATAATAGTGATAGTGAATAAATATCATAATAAGCATGTCGTAATGTGCATAAATCATAAATGTGTGGCTTAGTGAACTTTTAATTCTACGCTTACTTAAGCATTACATGAATCAAAATAGTAAACATTTGCCCCAAAAGCTCCCTGAAAGCATACAACCAGTTACCAGTTACTGTCTAGTCAATTCCAATTCAGAGTGACCTCCTACATGCAGAGCTGAACTGCATGGCACAAGGGTTTCAAGGCTGTGACCACTCAAAAGATTGCCTGGCCTTTCTTCCAGTGTACCTCGTGGGTAGATTTGAACTACCAACCTTTCAGTTAGTAGTCAACCATTTAACCATCTGAAGGAACTCTAGTAGCGTAGTGGTTACAAATCGGGCTGTGAACCACAAGGTCAGCAGTTCGAAGCTCCCAACTGTTCGCGGGAGAAAGATGAGGCTTTCTGCTCCCGTAAAGATTTATAGCCTCGGAAACCCTATACAGGGTCTCTATGGGTCGGAACTGACTCCATGGCACATCACCACCACCACCAGGGACTCCTTGAAAGTATAAGTTGTTGTGTTAAGTGCCATCAATTGGGTTCTGACTCAAAGCAAACCTCTGTAGAGTTTCTGAAGAGTGACTAGTGGGTTTGAACCGCTGACCTTGAACTTGCACTTAGCAGTCCACTACTTACCCTACAATACCATACCAGGACCCCTCAAAGTTTACACTCCCTGCCAAAAATAGCCACTCTTCAACTTTTATCATTATAGATTACTGTTGCTTGTCTTTGAATGTTAAGTAAATGAAATTATACTGTATTTACTGTTTCATGTCCATTTTTTTTCCCTACTCAACATTATGTCTATGGAATTTTTCCACATTGTTGCACATATTAGTAGTTTATCTTTTTTATTACTATGTAATGTTCCATTGTATGAATGTTGTTGTTAAGTGCCATTAAGTCAATTCTGACCATAGCCACCCTGTATAGGGTTTCCAAGGAGCAGCTGGTTAGCTTGAACCACTGACCTTGCAGTTCAAATAACTTTGCAATCTGAGGCATTAGCCCACAGCGCCACATGATGAATTCATTCTATAGTTGGTAACTTTCTATATTTTATCTCTTGTATTTTAGATCTGTAATCTATCTGAAATTATGTTTCTTATTTCTCCACTGGGTATTTTTTTCATAAAACTAGCCTTGCCCCAGTGCACTGTGGGTGCACTTTGTCACAGATCAGGTGATGGTTTATGTAAGGACCTGTTGCTGTGGTCTGTTTTCTGTTCATGGTCACCTGTTTTTGATGGCTATATGGCTTTATCCTCACTGTATTCTTAACATAGAGTTCAGCTGAACTCAGGGCTTGGAGTTTCATTTCATCAAGGATTATAAGTGCTGATGACACCATGTAAATCAAGTATGCTGGAGAAAGGGGTTTCTGTCTTAGGTAAGAGGTTCACTGGAAATTTGCCAAGCTGTCTTCTCATTGGTACAGTTCAGTGTTGCTACTTTAGTGCTATAAATGCACCTCCTACTTGGTTTTTTTTTAATTTTTTTTACCAGCAAGCCTTCTCTTAGCTTCCCACTCCAACTAAAAAAAGATATATTTTATGAAGTCCCCTTTGGTACAGAAAATAATTCTGAAAGTGAATAATGCTAATCTTGAACTTTCTTTCTTTCGTTCTTACCATAAAAACAGAAAAATTTTTAACTTTATAAATTATAGTATTTAAAGGGATTTAAAAAAAAAAAAAAGCCATGGGTATTCACCAGTAGAGTACAGCTAAGACACTTAAGAAATGTAATCTGTGACTTGAAAGTACAAGTTCAAGATGAATTGAGACATAACATTTTTTATCTCAATTGGTTCTTAAGTGGCTGATCTGTCTAAAATTCTTTGTAAGGGTTTAAGTGTATTTGTAGAAATAGATTGAAACTTTGGTGAGGAAAGCAGTAAGGCTCTGGTTCTAAGTTCACTCAGGTCTCAGTTCCCTGTACTGTTTCCTTTCTAAACATTCACCTGTGTAGAAGGACCGTTATCTCTGGCAATCCCAGGGCCATCATAACATATTTATTAAGATGGTGACACAGTGGTTAAAGTATTCCTCTGTTAACTGAAGGGTCAGTGGTTTGAAGGCACCAACTGCTCCATGGAAGAGAGATGTGGCAGTCTGCTTCCATGATACTGGACAGCCTTGGAAACGTTCCGAGGCAATTCTGCAGTGTCATAGGGGGTTGCTATGAGTTGGAATTGACTTGATGGTACAGGGTTTGGAGTTTGATGGCATACTGGATTAAGCATTGGGTTGCTCACTACAAGGTCAGTGGTTTGAACCCACAAGCCACTACATGGGAGGAGATGTAGCAGTCTACTTTTAAGATTTACAGCCTGAGAACTCTATGGAGGCAGCTCTACTCTGTCCTACAGGGTCACTGGAATTGGGAATCGACTCAGTGCCTGCCAGTGGGTTACTCTGAGGAGTGAGCGGTTCAAGCTGGACTAATATTTTTCCCCAACGTTCAGTTGAGGGGAATACTAAGGAATATCTTCATAAAGCAGAAATTTTATCACTTTTCTGGGATAGTCATACTAGATATTTTTTATTCCCTAATTAATGTTGTTGTTGTTAGGTGCCATTGAGTTGGTACCGACCCATAGTGACCTTATGTACAGCACAACGAAACACTGCCCGATCCTGGGCCAACCTCACTTACTGTTGCTACAGTTGAGTCCATTGATGCTGCCACTTGGCCAATCCATCTTGTTGGGGGTCTACCTCTTTTTCTCTGACCCTCCACCTTACCAAACATGATATCCTTCTTCAGCAACTGGTCCCTCCTGACAATATGTCCGAAGTATGAGAGATGAAGTTTGGCCATACCTCCAAGGAGTACTCTGGCTGCACTTCTTCCAAAACGGATTTATTGGTTCTTTTGGTAGTCCACAGCACTTTTAATAAACTTGTGATTATCATAATTATTAATAAATTAATAAAATGTACTTGTTTAAAGTGATAACCTTTATTAAATTTTTCTTAGGTGCCAGGAGTTATGCAAAGTTTCTTATGTAATGATCTCACTGAACTGTGTCAGCAGCCCGCAGAGTGCGTACCACTTTTGCTCCCATTTTATAGATAAGGAAATCAAGCTTGGCTTGTTGTTGTTGTTATGTGCCTTGGAGTTGGTTCCGACTCATAGCGACCCTGTACAGAGTTTCCAAGGCTGTAAATCTTTACAGGAACAGAAAGCCTCATCTTTCTCCCTTGGAGCAGCTGGTAGTTTTGAACTGCTGACCTTGCAGTTTGGAGCCTAATTCGTAACCACTACGCTGCCAGAGCTCCTTAGAGAGGATAAAGATCATATCTGAATTTCAGCTTCAGTAGTGTGACTTGTATTTATTCATTATGTCTGAGATTTGCTTTCAATTTTTAAGTGTCACTGAGAATTCTAATTGTTGATGCTAATAACTGTTCTATTCCAAATCTCAACATTTAGTTTCATTATTTATAATTCTTTAATGTTTTAATTAGCAACAGTTTGGCTTTCAAACTGGAAGTGATAAAAGAAATTATGAGACCAGTATTCTTTTGCAAATTCAGCTCTTTTCTGAATGATAGTGCGTTGTTCGTATGAATTGTAACAACTGTGGCAGCATTCATAGCGGTTATGGGGACTCAGCTTTCCTTGTGCTCATCTTCCTCTTGAAGGCTGGAAAAGCAGCCTTTATGTATGAAATATGAAGGATTGCAGTGTGGTTTTTTAACAAATTGCTTGATAAATAACATTATCTTTAATAAGATGTTGGTAGTATATTTTCATAAAGGAATTAAGCCAAAGGGAATCTGTACACACATTGGATATAAACTTCTCTAAGAACATTTTGTGTGTGCCTTCTCCATCTCGACCACTCCATTCTCAGTGAGTTCTCTCTGCTTATAGGAGCTGCCTTATGAGTGTGGAGCCTGCCATCAGCACCAAACATCTTCCTTACCAGAGCTTCCAGCTCTTTGGCTTCGACTTCATGGTGGATGAAGAGCTGAAGGTGTGGCTCATTGAAGTCAACGGCGCCCCTGCATGTGCTCAGTAAGCCTGAACACCGTTGTGTGTTAACCAGTGGGAAGTCAGCTTAGATCGTCTTGGTAGGGCTGTGAGCTCCCTTCACTTGAAAGTGTTCAAGGGGTAGACCCTTTCATAGCTGTCAAGGAGGATGTCATAGTGTTAGGAATCCTCTGGGAGGAATCTGGCTGGCACAGGGCTTCACTGGGCCATTTCCTTTCCCACTGACCCCATGTGTGTTGATGGAGAGACTCAAGTAAAGCTAGTAACTGCCAGAGAAAAGAAACCCTGTCCTGTGACAAGTTCAGCCTCCCTCTCACCACTCTTGCTTCATTCACACGGATCCTCATTCAGTTCCCAGGTACCCTGTGTTCTCTCTGCTCGGTGATGCTACTTCTCTGCTTGTGTTTCTCTCTCTCTCTCTCTGTCTCCCTCTCTCTCTCTCTCTCTCTTTCACACACACACACACACACCACTCTCTCCTTTTTTCTTTCTGTGTCTCTCTTCCCTTGTCTGCCTTCTCTCTTTCTCTGTGTGACCCCTCCTCTGTCCGATTTCTCTTCAGTCTCCAGGTGTCAGCTTAGTTGTCACTCCTGGGGAGTCTTCTGTAGGGTCCAGTCAGCCAGTCTGTGTTGGTTCTTTTCCTGGGCAATGTCCATCCTCCATGTATGCCCGTCACAGGCAGACAAAATGCTCTTTATTAAACTGTATAGAAATTGCTTATCAGTCAGAGCAGGAGTTGAAAGCATTTGTAGTTATTTGTTGAGGGACAGCTTTATAGTCCTGCGAAGGCTCTGGCAGTGTTTATGTGGACAGTGGAGACAGTTTGGTAAATGTGGCATCTAGGGAAACTCCTGATGTACACTTTGATGGACATCCTTAGTGACCCATTTGTAACTGCACTGCAGGAAACTTTATGCCGAGCTTTGCACTTTGATGGACATCCTTAGTGATCCATTTGTAACTCCATTGCAGGAAACTTTATGCCGAGCTTTGCCAGGGCATCGTGGACTTAGCCATATCCAGTGTCTTCCCACCTCTGGAGGCGGAGCAGCAGCAGCAGCCCCCACCGGCTGCGTTCATCAAGCTCTGATGGATTCAGGTGCCCACAGCTGCCTCCGAATACACGGGGTCGGCTTCAGGGAAAGGTGAAATGGCCGATTGCTCACAGTCAAGCCAAAACGAATGGAAGAGATGAGGGAGAGTGTGAGAAGAAAAGAGAAGTTCCCCAAAGAGCAGGATACAGACGGGGTCCCCGGATTGAGCTCTCCATATTGCTAGGAAGGCTGCAAACTAAAGCAAATTTCGCTGAGGGGAAAAAACAAGGACTTGATTATTTTATGTTCTCATTCTTTGGAAAAGTTGGTTTTTCTCCTAAGGCAGCATTGTGAGCAACACCGATCCTCCCTGGGATTGCAGACTATCAGGAGCTCTGGTTGGTGTGTTTCCACGTGCTATAGCCTTAGTGCCTTAGCGCCTTAGCGCTGTTCCCAGCAGCACCCCCTTCTGTTCTGGGGCACGGAGTGGATGCTAGAGCATTTGGGAGGTTGCTGAGGGGTCCCCCACTCGCCCCCTCCCCGACACTCTGCCCTACTAGAAGCTGGACACCCATGCACCACCACTCCTTGGTTTCGTGCTATGCACCATCCTCACAGCGAAGGGAGTTTTCCTCATCACATGCCTGGTGGCGTGTGATCCATCAGTCATCTGTCAGGGTTGGTGTTGGTTGGGTATCAGAACAACAAATGCTGCTCTCAGCCTTCTCTTTGCATGTTTAAATAAACAAAACAGCAATTCCGCCATGAACCTGTAATATCAAATAAGTATGAGAGAAGAGAAAAAAAAAATCTTTCTTTACTTACTAGAGTAGGTTGTTGTGGGTCTTTGAAAAATGATAATTTGCAATTATCTTTGTGTTAATCAGAATTCTAAATGTACTTTTGCAAAGTTCCCTTTTCTTCCATTTTTTTTTTTTTTTTTTTTCCCAACCTTTGGGGAAACCTCTCTGGGGATCAGGTAGGCAGGTAGGATTCCACCTCTCCTCACCCCAGAAGGCACTGCTCCCAGCACAGATAACTTCCCTCCTTTCTTGTCTCTCTGCTCTCCAAGTACCTTGCAGAGCATGTAGAGGGGCAGGTGTGGGTCCAGGGAAGGTTCTATGTATGCAGGCTCCTCCAGGAATCAAAGGAGAGGCTCCAAATAAGCTGATGCCCCACCTGAGTGGGAGAGCTTTCTAAAATAAGGAGAAAGCTCCACACAAACAGCATCTGGTCTCAAGACACATGCATGTGTGGTTAGATGTAAATCCACCTACTGGGCCGACTAACATTTAGTCAGAGGTTACATCACTAGCAGTGGGAAGAGGATGCCATTTGTTGTTGTGTTCAGTGTGAGTGGAGGAAGCAGACCTTTTTTTTTTTTAAATAATATACTGAAAATCACAGCAAACACTTTGCAAACTGTACTCCTCTCACCAGAACTTGGTGGGCTCATCCTTCACCCATAGGTGTGCCCCATGATTCATCCCTATATCCCTATATGACCAAAAGTCAGGTGAGATTCTGAAAAGGTAGAAGAAAAAGAAACACCTTCTCAAACCCGATAGCTTTAGGAGCTATTGGTGAACAGAGGGTGCTGATGAGATGTGAAGGATACATTCTCCTGAGACTGGAGAAGGGCCAGACTGAATTGTTTCTCATGGGAATTTAGAATGACAAAACGAAAGCCCTGGTGGTTATGCAGAATGAGGATACTGAAGTTTGCCTCCAAAGTAAAATAATCAGTGGTAGAAGTTGATCCTAGAGGTCCCATTGCAACTGATGGGTTAGTGTTTGAAGGGATTGAGATCACCGCAAACCATGGAAAGCTGCATGCTCACTTAGAATAGGATGCTGAGTTTTTGGCTAGGTCTTGGTGGGCTGCTGATGGGGAAAGGCATGGGATAATGCAAGCCCATGATAATACAGATTTGAAATTATCTTCTCAATCCAAATTACATTTGAGAAGTTTCCAGCTCTTAAAATGGCAAACAGCTAAAAATTTAGATGTTAGGAGCTCTGAATCTTCAAAATCTAATAAACCGATTCCAATAAATGACATATACGTAAAGAAAGCGAGGCTTAAAAATAAAAGGTCTTGCCTCATTCTTCATGTGGTGTCCAACAAGTATGCTCTTATATATTTCAGGTCAGGCAGGATGGTTGGCTCCAAGCCAGGCTATCCTCTTCCATGATGTCCTTGGTGCAGATGGCCACGCTTGCTCCCCAGCCAGTCCTCATACATGTAGTCTATATAAATGCCATCCAGTGCCGGGGGAGAGAGTGTTATTGATTTGGAGATGTTGGTTCTAATCTTGGCTCTGTCGTGTACTTGCACAGTGTCAGATGAGCCACTTAACCCCTCTGTGCCTTAGTTTCTTATCTCATGGAGGAGAATGTTCCTGCCCCAGTGACTACCTCAAGGACGTTTAGTGAGGACAAAGGAAATTAGGAAGACTCAAAGAGTCTTTAGTGCCAAGGCTTTCAACACTGACTACATTCTAGAATCACTTGTGAAGCCCTTAAAAAATGCTGGTGTTCACACCTTCCCTTCATAATGACCAGTTAAATCAGTGTGTCTTTGAATGTCTTGAACCACTGCTTGAGAAAGAACAGACACATGGTTACTTTAGAATGATAGCTTATGGGTTTTTAAAAAGCTCTTTTTGAGAAGGACAGGCATTTCTTTATGGATGACTAGATGTTGACAGATGTAATCCTGGTGCAAACAAGTGTTGGCTATACAGGTTCTCTGTTGGAAAATATATTTGCTTTTCATCACAGCATCTGAAAATGCAAACGTGCTTTCATGTACTTAAACAGTATTGGAAGCTTAGACGAAATGTAAACAGGCATGAATTTATAAGTCTGCTAAATATATGTTAAGGTTATTAATTAATTAATGAGAGAAAAGCCTCTCCCTCACACTTAACTCCATTTTATCAAGAACATTTTAAGTGCCTCAGTGTTTGAATGAGATATTGGAACAGGTGCTGGCATATTAGCCAGCGGATGTGATGTTTCACTAGTTCCTAAGGATGATTGTGACATAAATGGAACATCTGGTGAGACTGGAAATAAACGGATTAGCAAGTGACAGGAAAGCTACAAATGTTTTCCATTTGCAGTTGAGGGAATGTCATGCAGGACGAATCTGGTCCTGTTGTGGGTGTGGCAAGGGCTCCCCATGACAGGACAAGGCTTCAGAGTGGGCCCACTCAGCATGTGAGGCTGTAGAGAAAATTCAGTGAAATACATGTCTCTGACCCTGGGCACAGAATCTATACATAAGAGGAAATGATTTCTGAAATCAAGGCAATTTTGTGGATGTTTAACATGCCTGGAGCATTAAAGTATGCTATTTCAAGTGTGTTTGTCCCCTTTGGTTCTGTGATCTTACTGTGGTTATTTACTATCCTAGGATATTACTGGTTATTTAAATACATACTATTGTTAACCAGGGGTTGGTTAACTTTCTACAGAGGGCTAGAAAGTAAATGTTTTCCATGTGTTGGCTTCCTGTTGCATGAATTTAAAAAATAATATTAAAAAATGTATGTCATTTTTTAGTTCACAAGCCATTCAAAAAAAATAGGATTTGGCCATATTTTGCTGACCTCTGCATGTTACCCAATGGAAACAATTTCAGCTGCGAAAATCGAATCCATTCATGTGTCTTGCGTATTGTCTGAATCATGATGCGGATCGTGAGGTGAGACTCATGGGTGTGAAAGACAGTTATGTGTGCTTCACACTTAGCGGGGAGAGGAGGGGGATTCAGAAATGGGTGCATACACAACCAAATAGGCCTGTAACAAGTGAAGAGATGGACTTAATTATCAAAATACTCCCCACAAAGAAAAACTCAAGACCAGATAGCTCCATTGACTAATGCTACCAAATCTTTAAAAAAAAATAATTAGCGTCAATTTTCTACTAACTTTTCCAAAAAATAGAAGCAAAGGGGAGAAACACTTATCAACTAACTTTATGAAGCCACTATGATTGCTTCTTAGAAGCAAGGATGGCAAGACTTTGTCTCACTTACTTTGGACATGTTTTCAGCAGGGAAAACGTCCTTCCCTGGAGGAGGGCATTATGCTTGAGAAAGCAGAGAGTCGTGACAATGAGATGGACTGACAGTGACGGCATCAGGAGGCTCAAACATAGCAACGATTGTGAGGACAGTGCTGCTTACTGTTGTACTCGTCTCTCAGGTGGAAGTGACTTGATGGCACCTAACAACGACATTAGTATGCCAATTCCAAATCAGAGAAATCACAAGAAAACCACAGACCAAAAAAATCTTCAACATAATACTAGCAACCCAAGTCCAGTAATATATAAAAAAAGATAATGTACTGTGACCAAGTAAGATTTATTCTAGAAATGCAAGCATGGGTCAATATATAAAATTAATCAAGGCCAAAAAACCCAACAGAGGCAATAGAAGCAAATACTCTTGAATGATGATGCATGGAGGAGATTGTAATCATTGCAATGAAATGAAATACGATAGGATGAGTGTAAAACTGATGTTCTCCCATGTAATCTATCACTCAATTCACAATAAAAACTTAAAAAAAAAAGGCAACAAGCCACATTAAATAAAGGACAAAAACCACATGATCACCTTAATAGATACAGAAAAAGCATTTTTCAAAATATAATACCTTTACTTAATGAAAACACTTAATAAAAGAGAACTTCAGCCTGAAAAAGGGCGATAACAAAACAGCCAGAGCTAACAGATTTAATGGTGACAGACTGAAAACTTTCTGCCTAAGATCAGGCCCAAGACAAAGAGGCTCATCTACATCACTTCAGTTCAAAAATAGCAAAGGAATAAAACATCTGGATTTGAAAGGAAGAAGTAAAATGATCTCTTTCTGATGACATGATCTTGAATATAGAAAATGTTAAGGAAAACACACACACACACACAAAGGTTAATGAGTTCAACAAGATTAAATAACACAAGCCAGTTGTATTATATACAAGCAATGAACAATCAAAAAAAGAAATTAAGAAATTTTTTTAATAGCATCACAAAGAA